TTATGCAATCTACATTATGTAATTATGATTTTAAAACTTATTTTTTGTTGGAAACTTTGAAAAAATGTATAAAGTTCTTATAAGTCCATTGAAGATGTCTTCTTTTAATTATTAAATGATTTTTACATTGTTAAAAAATAAAAATAATATTAAAATAAGAAGATGCTTTTTTATGCCTTTTAAAGCTTAGGCCTCGTCTATGCTCGTTTGCCCAAAACTTGATCTTAATGCATTACGCTTTTTGGAACACTGATTTCATCTTGCTGGGATAGCATTCAGCATAAAAGTTTGATGAAATGTTTATGAATTAATGAAGGACCGACATGGATGACCTGTAAGAAACTGAGAGAAAAGAGAACCTGGATATGAAAGTAAATGAATTTCTCGTGCTCAATCGCCACTTGTAGACTTTGATTTCTTTTGATTGAAACCAGTAACTAATTACCATACGAAGGAACATATGAGCCACTGTTTGCATCTGATCGACTGCATTATTCATATTTCGTTCAAATAACATTAAGTGGCTTAATAAGTTAAATATTCAACCTGCTACCTTTCTAACTTTAACATTTATCGGTGCTTTGCATATTAAAATGACATGATGTTCTACTCATTTCTAGTTTAGGAGCAGAAATCTCTTTCCATTCTTTTTACATCTCCATAATCTTTTTGGAAATGACTGACTGTGATCATGTTTGGAGCTGGATTTTACCGAGTCACAGCCTCTATATGCTTGTTATTTTGGTTCCTTTATTTCATTTATAGCAAAATTTATTGCTGTGTTGTGTGAAACTTGGTTTGAGTTTGACTATTGAAGGCATTTGCAAGATACTAGTATGGCCCCTAAAGGCTCTGAAATTTTGTCTGAGGATGGTTTTTTGCTTGCAAATTGTCTTCTTTTACCCGTTGATGGTGATTGTTGCGTGTTGTCACACCTGGCCAACCTACCTGGGACAATGGCCCACTCATGGCGACCCATGTGGCATTCCTACCGAGGTGGCACACAATGTCGAGGTGGGCTACTTCCGAACTGCTTCGAGCCGAAGTCCATCTGCCGAGACCCGTTGACCGAGACCTACGAACCGAAGTCAGGCTCTGCTGTAACCTGTTGAGAGCAGCTGAGGCCCTCAAGTGGAAGTATCATGACAAATGGCCGAAACCCCCAAGCTGATGCGCGAGCCTCTGAACCACAAGGAAACATCCTCCACAGTCACTCCTCCCAAGAGATCACCTGCACAGATCTTATTTGAATGACTGATGGAACGTTTGTCACAAGCATAAAGGTCAAGTCTTGTCACTAGCATGGAGGCCATGCACAAGCAATAAATGCGCCGCAAGCTAGCAAGCAAGCCCCATATCTAGAAAAAGAAGTTTTGACTAAAGAGATGAGGCCACGTGCCACTTCATCCAAGGGCTCCCATTTCATATGCACTACTATAAATACTTCCCTTGTGTAATATCAAAGGGCTAATGCAAGAATCAATACTAAAGACTACATTTACTCAACTCTCTCAGTGACTTGCAATACATAAATCGAGTTTATACACTTTTACATATACATCTACGAGCACCGGTTGGTAATTATTGTACAATCGGATTACGAATAATCCGCCGGATCCCGAACGTCATCGTCCCGCGTCGTCGGGCTACTCCCACGCCCCTTTGAACCGCTCGTTTTAGACCGTCCACGTGTCTTAGCGTGTTGGACATTCGCCCACGCAAGCGCGGGTGGGACCGGCATCTGTTGGCGCACTTTTTGGGGTCAACAGATTAGCGCCGTCTGTGGAAATCCATACCATAACCACGAGTAACCTTGTGGTAAAAGCTTGCTAAAAAAATATTTGGGCAACCCCCCTTGAAAAAGGATTTGTTCTCGAAAGAGAACAGGAGGAACCCCTACCACTTGGAGAAATCTAAGTTTGATAAAGGAAAAATGAGTTCTAACGAAGATACTCCCCCAAGGAGGGTAAGAGAAAATACGAATGTGCCTCCCCAGCCTGCTGCCCCAGCAGCTCGGCAGAGGCTCTACCACCAAAGGAGAGGTGGGATGCGTGCGACGGCACGACTATCAAGAGAAATGGCTACTATGGCAGCCAACATGAGGGATATAGCCAACCAAAACTTGGCCATGAAGGAGCTCATGGCCCAGATGTAAGGCCAAGGAGGTTTCCCCATTCCTCCATATGCCCCCCATGGGCACTATCAGCAAGAGGACGAGGTCCAAAGTCATAGGGCTGCCTCGCCAGACTATGGCCGAGGTGAAAGTCCATTCAAGAGGGAAGTGGGAGTTGACATTTCCACCAATTATGCATCTGGCCGACCCTCCGAGGTCCAAATGAGCCATGATAACTTTCCACCTCCGTATGAGCAAGACCCAAGACAGAGGAGAGCAGGAAGTGTTTTTGACAGAATCAGCCCTGCCGAACCAAGGCCCAGTCAACAGCAGTCTCAGCAGCCTCGGGCGAGGCCACAGCCTCCACCTCCAATGCCCCAACAGCCGGAGAGACGGCATGAAAATGCCCTCCGCGCTGTCCCGCCTAGAAGTAGGCCGCAAAGGAGGGAGGAGGAGGCTAGGAGCCGGCCAGGACCCTCTCACCAACAACCGAGGTACGAGGTCGAAGATTACGATTCTGATGAGCGGCAGAGGTCCTGTGACTTGGACGATGATGATGAGAACCTGCCATTCTCAAGGGAACTAAGAGATGCCCAGGTCCCGAGCCACTATGTCATGCCAAAAATACCAAAGTATGATGGGAGAGGTGACCAAGAAAAGCACCTCAACGCTTACAAAACTCACATGAGCCTGAGGGGCGCCACCCCAGCTGTGAAGTGCAGAGCATTCCATTTAACCTCAGTGGAGCGATTGAAATCTGGTATAGTAGGTTACCATCTGGGAGCATCCGAAGCTGGCTCGAGTTCCAAACTACCTTCTTGAAGAGGTTTGCAGTGAGCAAGGAAGGAGAGGCCCCCATTCAGCGTCTTCAAGATATGAGACAGGCGCATGGCGAGTCCTTGAAAAGCTTTCTATCCCGCTTCACCGACGAGATGACCTACTGTGTACAAGTCATCGACAGGGAAGCACTATCTGCGTTGAGAGGAAGATTGAACATGAACACCCTATTCTGGAGGGATGTGCAGAATCAAGACCCAACCACCTATGACGCCCTACTAGAGATGATGAGAAGGGAGATAATCAATGGAGAATTGATTGAGCATAGAAACAGGGCAAGCAGGGGCCTCCCACCTCCTCAAAGACAGCGAGGTAGGGGGCCGACCTCACACCTCATGGACTACCAGATGAACTAATCTGGAAATGAGAACTCCGGCCAAGCCCTGGCCACCACAACTCTGAACGCAGTACCAACCTTGGCGTATGAGGATGTCAACCCAACCGCTGACCCACATCAGATACAAGCCCAGCAAGGACCACGTAGAGGGAGAGGCCGAGGCCGAGGTTTTGCACCTAGAAATAGGTCTAATCCAAACCTCCCTGGATACTGTTTGCACCATAGGTCCTACGGGCACGACACCGCGGATTGCAGAGAATATGCACACCGCTCCTGGCAGGAACCCGTCAGGGAAAGACATAACTCGCCCCAGGCAAACAGGCCCCCGCCCAGGCAAGACAATCGACATGGGCGTGAGGCGGCCACTCCTCATCAAAGGGATGTCTCCCCAAGGCGACGAGAGCAAGACACAGAGGGGCCCAGGGAAGGACGTAGACACCGAAGAAATAGGCAAACTCAGGATGAGGCTCCTATCCACGAGATAGACACCATATTTGGAAGCCCTTATGTTGGCGGTGAAACACGGAACGCCAAAAGAAATTATGCTAGGGAGGCTAAGCACCCCCCTCTGACAAGCTACATTGTGGATAGTAGCTCTCGAAGAAACCAAGTACCACCCATTGTCTTCACCCAAGAAGACGCCGAAGGAGTTCATTACCCCCACTGCGACGCGCTGGTGGTGAGAGCTATCATAGCCCGAAATGGGCTCAAACGAACACTAGTCGACAACGGCAGCTCCGTTAATATCTTATTCGGGTCCGCCTTTGACAAGATGATATTGGACCACCAGTTGACGCCCACCACCACTCCATTGTACGGATTTACCGGAGATAGCATCACTCCGAGGGGAAAGATAACATTGGTAGTAGAGATGGGAGAATCCCCTCAAACTACGATGAACTTTATGGAGTTCCTCGTAGTCGGCAGTCGATCGGCTTACCACGGAGTCTTGGGTAGACCAGCCCTAAAGGAATGGGGAGCAATCACCTCCATCCACCACCTATGCATGAAATTCTCAACAGAAAATGGGGTGGCAACGGTGAGAGGCGACCAGAGAGGCTCGAGAGAGTGCTATCTAAGCTCCATTAAGAAGGTAGAGCCCCGGGACGTCCACGTGATCATGGGTGATGTGGTCATGGCGATGTCTGAGGTGACGCTCCCATTGATCAAGAAGATGTTGATATGATTGACGCACCGCTTAATGAGGAGGTGCTGATCGTTGATGAGATCGACCCCCGCGTAATGGAACATGAGCCTCAAGCATCCCCTGTAGAGGAACTTGAGAGCTTCTCAGCCGACCCCCGATATCCGTCCAAGGTGTTGAAAGTAGGCAGAGGCCTATCCAACATCTTGAGAGAAAAGATTAAGGATTTTCTAGGCAAGAACCTTGACGTCTTTGCTTGGAGGCATGAGGACATGGTGGATATAGACCCCAAGATCAGCTGCCACCACTTGAAAGTTGATCCTAATGTTGCCCCGCATAGACAAAAAAGGAGAGCTCTCAACCCTGAGAGGTATGAGGCCTTAAAGGAAGAGGTTCAGAAGCTCATCCAAAATGGCTTCATCAGGGAGTCCACCTATCCGAGGTAGGTCTCCAACCCGGTCTTGGTTAAAAAACACAATGGCAAATGAAGGGTATGCATCGACTTTACAAACCTCAATAGAGCTTGCCCGAAAGACAGCTTTCCGCTTCCAAGGATTGACCAATTGGTGGACTCCACGGCTGGGCACGAGTTATTGAGCTTCATGGATACATACTCCGGCTACAACCACATGCCTCCCTTTGGCCTTGCTAAACGCCAGGGAGAGAAGCCTCAACATGGCTGCACCATCCACCATGTCTGGGATGCGTCGTCATCTCGGAGGAGAGGCTCGGGACCCACCTCTGGGCCACCTCGCTTGAACTCCGAGGCGCTAGCACATGCCTCCTTTTGGCCTTGCTGAACGCCAAGGGGAGAAGCCCCAACATGGCTACACCATCCACCATGTCTAGGATGCGTCATCACCTCGGAGGAGAGGCTCGGGACCCACCTCTGGGCCACCTCGCTTGAACTCTGAGGCGCTAGCACATACCTCCTTTTGGCCTTGCTGAACGCCAAGGGGAGAAGCCCCAACATGGCTACACCATCTACCATGTCTGGGATGCGTCGTCACCTCGGAGGAGAGGCTCGGGACCCACCTATGGGCCACCTCGCTTGAATTTCGAGGCGAGAGCACATGCCTCCCTTTGGCCTTGCTGAACGCCGAGGGGAGAAGCCACAACCGCTACAGTCCGAGGCTCACACTGTTCATATCCTTAAGTCATGTTAATTTGCTTAAGTCCGAGATTCTCACAGTTCAGTCACTCAAGTTATGTTCATTTATTTCAGTCCGAGGCTCACAAAGTTGATTGATTGGAACCAAGAACAACGATGAAAGAAGAAAGACATTATATTGATATTTCAAGGAAGATTACAAAGGAGGGCCTCTGGCCATTACATCCAAAATACTGAAAAGTAAAACCTAGTCTATGCCTGGCTAGATGACGGAGGCGCCTCAGCACTTGGAGCTTCAGCAACTTGGGCATCAGTAGTTGCTTCCTCTGCCTCAGCACTTGGGGCTTCGGCATCAACTTCTCCATCACACTGGACCTCCTCAACTGGGGTCTGAGGTACCTCATCCACAAATTCGGACCTAAGTTAAGCCAGGTCCAAATTGGGATACAGCTCCTCTACCCACTCCAGCACCTCGGCTTTCTCTTCAAAGCCTCGCAGGTTTGGTTCCTCAACCACATCGGCTTCTTCTTCACCGCCTCGCAGGTTTGGTTCCTCAACTACCTCGGCTTTTCCTCCTCGCCATTCAGCATCAAAGCCTCGCAGGTTCGGTTCCTCAACCACCTCGGGTTCCTCTTCACAGCCTCGCAGGTTCGGTTCCTCAACCACCTCGGCTTCCTCTTCGCCATTCAGCATCAAAGCCTCGCAGGTTCGATTCCTCAACCACCTCGGCTTCTCCTCTTCGCCATTCAGCATCAAAGCCTCGTAGGTTCGGTTCCTCAACCACCTCGGCTTCCTCTTCACCGCCTCGCAAGTTCGGTTCCTCAACCACCTCAACTTCTCTCTTCGCCATTCATCATCAAAGCCTCGCAGGTTCGGTTCCTCAATCACCTCGGCTTCTCTCTTCGCCATTCAGCATCAAAGCCTCGCAGGTTCGGTTCCTCAACCACCTTAGCTTCCTCTTCACCACTCAACATCAAAGCCTCGCGGTTCGGCTCTCACCCACCTCGGCTCATCTTCAGAGTTCAACCACCTCGGCTCATCTTCAGATTTCAAACACCTCGCCTACTTCATCGCTCACCCACAGCGACACTTCTCAAACTCCAACCATGATATAAATATCTATACTTGGACTTCGGGGACTATTATTTGGGGTTCAAAAATTCTTTCAATTTTTACTCCATTAAAGTCCACGCATAACATAAATGAATATACTTGAACTTGGGGGACTATTGTTGCGTGTTGTCACACCTGGCCAACCTACCTGGGACAATGGCCCACTCATGGCGACCCACGTGGCATTCCTACCGAGGTGGCACACAATGCCGAAGTGGGCTACATCCGAACTGCTTCGAGGCCCATTGACCGAGGCCTACGAACCGAAGTCAGGCTCTGTTGTAACCTGTTGAGAGCAGTTGAGGCCCTCAAGTGGAAGTATCATGACAAATGGCCGAAGCCCCCAAGCTGATGCGCGAGCCTCTGAACCACAAGGAAACATCCTCCATAGTCACTCCTCCCAAGAGATCACCTGCACAGATCTTATTTGAATGACTGATGGAACGTTTGTCACAAGCATAAAGGTCAAGTCTTGTCACTAGCATGGAGGCCCTGCACAAGCAATAAATGCGCCGTAAGCTAGCAAGTCAAGCCCCATATCTAGGAAAAGATGTTTGGACTAAAGAGATGAGGCCACGTGCCACTTCATCCAAGGGCTCCCATTTCATATGCACTACTATAAATACTTTCCTTGTGTAATATCAAAGGGCTAATGCAAGAATCAATACTAAAGACTACATTTACTCAACTCTCTCAGTGACTTGCAATACATAAATCGAGTTTATACACTTTTACATATACATCTACGAGCACCGGTTGGTAATTATTGTACAATCGGATTACGAATATCGTCGGGCTACTCCCACGCCCCTTTGAACCGCTCGTTTTAGACCGTCCACGTGTCTTAGCGTGTTGGACATTCGCCCACGCAAGCGCGGGTGGGACCGGCATCTGTTGGCGCACTTTTTGGGGTCAACAGTGATAGTACATGGTTAATTCTCACTTGCCTCAACGTGGATTGCAGATTTTCTAGCTTTTCCAGATTGTTTGTGGACTCTACGAACAATGTCAAGTTTGAAACTCAATCAACTAGTCTACGACTGACACTTTTGTACAGATTAATAATGTTTATCCTTAGTGATATTTTAGCTAACAGTTTGCATTGGATGCTTTGCTTTCTTGATCGACTTCTCAAGGAACCTTATTATTGGAGCGAGTTGCTTCAGCTTGACGTCTTTGAATCCAGGTCGTCAAATCCTAGAGTTTGGAAAAAAAAAAAAAAAAAAAAAACCCTATCAAATCCTAGTTGAAGATGCCCTCTTCTAAACGTTAGAAGTTTTACTTTTAATTAATTGTGCTAAAGAACAAACGTAGAAGTTCTAGTACTAGGAAATTTAAACTCATAATAAATTTATCGAAGTTAATTATTTAGTTCAAGAGCATAGCCAACACGAGTGTAGATCTAAGGATCATGTGCAATTTAACTTCTCTTCTTAGCTCGATTATTTTAGATTAACAATATGAATCCAATCGATTTCATGATACATCTTTGGCTTAACTGGATTACAATGGAAGTTCTTGGTATTATCTTTGTTATCTCGTCCTCCGTTCTCTTGTTTTAACTACAGATGTAGCAATTGACAGAGAGATCCTGGGATGAGGTTAACTTAGATGTGTAAAAGGGCTGTGCCATGTCGTGGCTGAATCTGTGCTGGCCCGGGCATTTTTGTTGACATGTTGATCGTACTGCCTAACTTCTTGAGAAGTTTTGCACTCTAAGTTGAGGCTTTGATGTTATGGCTGAGTGCTTATATTCTCCTGTGGTGTCATATCAGTTGGAAGCGTTTTGTTTTATCAATTTCCATGTACCATCTGAGATGAACAAAATGCCTTGTAAAACTGGCCTCACACATTTATGTTGTCAAGTCCTATCCAATCCTATTTATTTGCAATGTGGATTTACTACAAGTCTTCTATGTTTCTTGCCTTCATTAGTATCTGGATTTAATATTCAGCCCTATAGTATTTCTGGTTATAGAATGTCATTTCTTCTTGTTTCTATTTTGATGGTTATGAATTTTGATGTGGGTTTGGCTCTATGAAAGAGTTTAAGGAAGGGTATCCCAATTATATCTATTCTTTGGTTGGAGGTTTCTTTCATATTAGAGTAACGGGAT